GATCCGAACCCTCGGCGGGAGCGCCGCCGCGCTTCCCAAGTGGCGCACTACAGCAGTGCGCAACCGGGCCGGCCCCTTGAGCTGTTATTTTAATACCCCTCTCTCAAAATCTTCCTTAAAATTACATTATTTTTAAAATTCTATATTGAACAAATGCAGTGAGAAAGAAATTTGGCAGTGAGATTATTATTTTTTTCTTTATTTCTTATTTCTGTTTTCTTTAAATTGCACTCTGTCTTCTTTGTTTAAAATCCCTTCTGCCTCTTCTCTTAGCTCCTTGTCCTGTGAAGGTGAAATACTTCTTAATGATTTTAAATCACAGTGTTTTCATAAAACACCAGCTACTCCTGTTTTCTATTTCCATTCATGGACATAGAGTAAATTCCTTGCCCACTCCGTCACTGCCTGCTCCTTTCTCAAGGCTTCTTAGCTCGGGGCTAATTGAAGGAAGTTCTCAGCAAATGACGGGGATGCCATTGTGATCTCTAGGACTCTTTCCTTTATCAGGATCAAAATTTACTTTCCTTATCCTTGCCAGTAATGACACTAACAAAAACATCATTTAGCAAAACTGTTGAAACTGAGTGTGTCTTGGTTGTCTAATCTCCATAGCATCTTGGATCTGTCCTTTTATTTAATAAATAAAGAAACTGTAGCATGGAAGGGATGCAGGATTTTGCCCAGAGTTGATATAAGCATGCATGTGCCTTGGCTTCCATTGGCTGTTCTTTTCAAGTTCCCCCATCATTTCTGCTTGTTTTTTAATTTCTGATTGTGCTGAAGTCATTGGGGGCAGTTTTTCTTTAATTACGTGGTGTTTTATTCCTCTTTTTATGCTGATGTTCAGTATGCAGTGATGCATTTATTCAACAGGCATTTACTGCATCCCTGCTGGGTGTCAGGCAGTGCTCCTGGCTTTGGAAATAAGGAGATGAGTAATAAAGAGGCAGTGAGAGTTTTCCCTCTCCTGAGGGGTCAGGAAAGGTGGCTGGAAAAGTATCACAGAGGAGATGGTGATCCTGCTCCGTCTTGTCAGCTAAGAGTAGAGGTTGAATGTGGTGGGTGACCACATTCTCCTTTAGGAATAAAGGACTTATTACTCCAGCTGCTGAGAGTGCTGCCTGCAGAGGGAGGGCCCTCAGGTATCAGCCCTGTTTGGGGATGGCCTCAGTTGAAGAGTGTCACCTTGCCCTGGGTCATGCTTCCTTTCTGAGGTGCCCCGCATCGTGGAATGACTGAAGAACATGGGTCCTGCAGGGTCAGCCGTAGCATTCCCGGGAGACTACCTCACAGCCTGATTTCCCCCTCTACCCAGTCCTGCTTTCTGCCCTTCCTTTTTATAGGTGTTACTCCCCAGAGCTCCCCCTAATAAACCTCTTACATGCTGACTTCCAGCTCAGTGTCTGCTAACCGGAGAAACTACACCTGCAGCACACATTTAGAACTATAAGTCTCCCCTGGGTAAGTGTAACTACCAAAGTCTCTGGCACAGGTGATCAAGAATTGTAGAGCTGTAGCTAGGAAATCACATTTATTCTATTGCAGCTGAAACTAGCCAGAGTGCCAGTGGTATTCTGTAGCCAGTAACAACAACACTGGTTTAGTAATCGTGGTTTTAAACACCGTAGTATCATCTGTCCAAGGGAACACTCCCAGAGCTCTTGCCCAAGACTTGGATTTGGAAGACTCTGAGATTCAAGGCAGTTCCTGTGGCTGAGCAGAGTATATGGGCCAAGGTCAGGACTTTTGACAGGGAAAATTTGAATGCAATGAGCTGAGTTAATGGACTAAATTTTATTTGTTCTTTCTTTTATTGGTTTATTTCTAGCATTTGTTTGGCCCCCACTGTGCCGAGGGATATATTAGATGCTGTTATTACCTAAAACTGTCAAGAGCACGGCACCTGCCTTCAAGGAGCTCACAAGCAAAGCAGTCTGTGTTACATTTTCATCTGTCACCAGCAAAGGAGGGTAAAACATCTCAGGTTTCCCCATGCCCACCCTACTTTTTTTGGGAAGGGGAAAATAAAATAAATAAGCTCTTCTCTTCTCCGTATGTCACTCTTTTGGAAAGTTTTTTTTGGTGATTTTTTTTTTTTTCCTAAACTGGAACCATTAGCAGCCAGGTCATGGGACAGGAAGAAAGCCTTTTAGGACAGACCCATAAATGTAGAATATTCTGGTCCAAGAGGGAGCGATCCCCTCTCATAAGGCAATTGCAGTTGATCTTTCACTGTGAACACTTTGAGTGATACTGTTGCAATTTGGCCATGTTGATTTTTCCTCTTGTTTTAGAACAGTCAGTTGTTTGGGGCTGCTGTGTCTCTGGTGTTCAGATCACACAAAGATTTGATTCCTTAATGGTGCAAGTGAAATCCCCTTGTACTTAAATTCACTATGTGGAGAATCTACTAAAAAGCCTTTTGTTAAGGACTTTAGACCTGTCCTCAGCCTCCACCATTGGTAGCTCTTGCATGCCTCCTAGAGATGTGCACACGCTCCCTCAGCCTTGACTTCCTCTAGTGGCAGATACCTCTGTCCCCACGTCAGCAGTCTGTACCCTAATCCAGCCTGTGCCAACTGATGGAGGATTTTCAAAACCACTAATTCTTAGCACAAAGAATTGGACATGCCGTGATGGCTGGGGGAGTCATCTATTCAGTCATATTTACTGAGCTCTTCCTAGCTGTCAACTAGTTTTCTAACTGTTGGGAATATTGCAAGATTGAGCAAACCCAGTCCTTATCCCTGTGAGTTTATATTTGAGTAGAGGGAGACAGACAATAAACAAATAGGTAAAATGTATATTAGATGGTGATTAGTGCTCTGCGCACATGTAGAGGAAGAGTGGACAGCATCCTAGACACGAGGAACAGCAGGTGTAAACTTTCTGAAGTGCACGTGGCCTGGCCTGTTTGAGGAGTAGGATGGAGGTCAGAGCAGAGCAGAGTGAGTCGCGGAGAGGGCTGGGGCCAATGAGGTCAGACCACCAGACCCTTGTTTGTAGGACAATAAGACTTTGCCTTTCCTTTCAGTATTTTGGGGAACCATTGGTGGGCTTTGAGCAGAGGCGTGACTCGATCTGATTTGTGTTTTTAATGGGTCATCCTGGCTGCTCTTTTGAGAATAGGAGAAAGCAGGGAAACCATTTAGGAAACTACTCCAGTCATCTGAGTGAGCAATGGTGCTGGCTCAGACCTGCTGGAGCGGTAGAGGTGCAGAAGTTGTCACATAAGGGTCAGGTCAAAGTTTGAAGGTCAGGTCATCAGGATATCCTGCAGATTGGATGTGCAGAGTGAGAGGGAGTGGAGTCAAGGGGGTTAGGGTTAGGCTGAATGGGTGAGAGGGCGTGTGTGAG